AGTACTGAGCAATACTTAGCTCAGTACCGATCTCGGTAACGAGCAGTACCGAGCCACGGTACCGGATAGTGGTGATGCGGCATATTTTCATTGGCTTTGGATGACGTTTGGTGTCCACACATAATAATTTCACCTGACATAATGTGCTTACATGGCGAGGAACCTTATCACTGCTACGTGGTAGCAATGTGGAAGAATTAATGTATAAATTTTAAATTGATACTTTTTTTGGGAGAAATTTTAACTTAATATTGCTGCATCATTATAGTTCAACTACTTATTTTAAATTTATATAACTTTTTTTCCATATATTAATTTCAAATTAAGGTAATTATCTATATATTAATTTAACAGATAACATTATTACTAAATTAATTTAAATTTAATTATTTACTTAAGTTTGTCCCTGACTAAGTTATGGGTAAATTTACTTTAATTTAATTATCCCTAACTTGATTTTTATTTGATATAATTATCTATAAACTTAGGTAACAAATATAATAAATTTAATTTAAGAATTTTAAAGAAACGACTTGCCTAATCATTCGAGTGAGAAAGGACTAGCCTAGTAGTTTAATGCAAAAATGAATGAGTGGCACCCCATCGCACCACGCGCCACATCCTCGCCTCCTTAGCCCAGGCTACGAAAACAGGGACGTGCCTCCACCCCCCGGGTCGTGAAAATAGAGCCGCACTACGTGCCTAGATTTCTATACGCTTCCCCGACATCGTCTACTTGACTCACCCGACTGTCCTGTGGTGCGCTAGCTGACACTCCCAACCAGTCATTCGAATTGTGAATGATTGGCATGGTTATTCAAACCATGAACGACTGACGACTACATGTCACGTGAAAATTCATTCGTCCACGTTGCCGCCACATAGCCGCGCAAATGTTCCTCTCCATGTAACAGTGCCACGTTAGCGACATTTTTTTGATCAGCTTTTTAGTTGCTTTTTAAAAATAAAATTTTAGTATAAAATTTTTTGTATTAAAAAAATATTTTAATCAGATTCAATGTATTATCAGTTTTTTTTTTTTCTGTATGAAGTTTTTTTTTTCAAAAGTTATTTTTGATAAAAATAGAAACTATATATTTCTAACCAGAATTATACCAAAATTCTTCAAATATGATTCCTATTTTATATAAAAAGTCACCGAAAAAAATTTTACTTTTCAAAAAAGATTTTACATCTTAAATCAATTGAGTTAGAAAATAAAATAACTTTCATGTAAAATAAACATTTTATATGCTAATTGTTTCTTTTAGAAATCAATATTATCAGAGTGCGTGGTCTACAAACGAAATTTAAAAATTTAACGGACTTAGCCACCTAAGACTTTTCATTAATAATATATAAATCTCACTTTAACGCGGATTTCCCGCTGTTCTTCTCAATAATTCCAAGCATCGTCAATATTAAATTGTCTAGAAGTAGGAACTTATTACCGCGGGTTATATACAATGAAGATGATAATGCGATAAAATGTGCTTGAGGAGAATCCTAGCAAATAAGATGTACCAAATTCTCTTTACAGTGGAGTTGTCTTCCACTGCTTCGACGATCGATGATCTCTTTCTTATAAAATCCAGCTTCCCACCACCGATCCAACTCTGATTTCTTCATCCCCGTCAATGGAATCTCTCCTCTTGTTCCTCCTCCTCCTCCTCCCCCTCCTCCAAACCTTCACAGCTGCAGCATCCCAATCTTACAGCAATATAACTCTAAACTCCTTCCTCACCACCGCTACTGCCGGCGCCAGAAACCCCTCATGGCTCTCTCCTTCCGGCGACTTCGCCTTCGGCTTCCTCTGTTAAGGAACCTGTTATGCACCTGTTATATTTGTACTTTATTGCATCTTATATTCCTTTATAACTCTATATATAGAAGACTGTTAACAGTAATAAACAACAAGATTTCATTCTCTCTTTCCATTCTTTCTTCTTCTCAGTTCTCTCTTCCAAGAACCTCCTGATTGGGAGTTCTATCTTGGTATTAGAGCTTCTTGCTCCACAGCATTCCTCTTCTCTCCTCTTTTCCACAGGACAGCACAAAGTCCTCCGGTCATGGCCGAAGAAAACTCCGCAGTTTCCCGCCGGACAGCACAGAGCATCTCCGGTCAAGAAACAGAGATCGTCATTCCCCCTCACCTAAAATTTTTGATTTCAAATATCAAGAATTTGGTTCCCACGCAGCTCACGACGGAAAACTACACAATCTGGAGATTGCAACTTTTTCAACATTTCTCTGCTAATGGATACGAACAACATTTGACAAGTCTGTCCACCTGTCCACCGGAGTCGAACATGTCCGATTACAATCGGTGGAGACTGATTGACAGGAATCTCATCTCCGCAATTCTATCAACCATCTCAGCGCCTATTTTACGATATGTACTCATGCTCAACACCGCGCAAGAGATCTGGTTCACCCTTGAACGTCGGCTTCAACCGACAAACCGCTCGCGGGTCATACAATTGAAGAGCGAACTTCATCAAATTCAGATGAAGGATCGCACAATGCAACAATATCTTGATCAAATCAAGAAGATTGTCGATAGCATCGCCGCAGCGGGATCCAAAGTGGACACCGAATATATCATTCTTTATATACTTAATGGATTGCCGGCAACATACAATCCGTTCAAGACGGCCATTCGAACATCACTTCAGCCTATCAGTCTGGACGACTTATATTCGCTACTTTGTAGCGAAAAAAAAAACCTCCATCATCAACGAAATCAAGAAATGCAACAGTCTGACAATGCCGCTCTGTTCTCAACCCGGAATTCGGGATATCGGTCTAAGAACCAGAAATTCAGAGGGAAATCAACTTTTTCAAAACCTCCGAACACAACAGACAATTCAAGCACGTCAAGAACTTCTAGAACTCGGCCTCAATGTCAGATCTGCGAAAATTCAGGTCATTCCGCACTCAATTGTTGGCATAGGTGTAACCTCACCTACGCTCCTCCGTCTAATTCGCGTGCGCTCACGGCTCAGCAACAAAATATGCCTTCGACCGAATGGATCGTTGATTCTGAAGCTTCGTCGCACTTGACTTCGGACATGACAAACCTACAAAACCCGTACCCATACACCGGAATGGATTCGGTGTCAATAGAAAACGGAAGTAATTTTCCAATCCAAAATTCCGGTCAATGTATCCTGCCGCTTCCCGACTCTCATCGTAAGCTCTACCTTCAAAACATTCTTCATGTTCCGTGTTTATCTCATAACTTGTTATCAGTTGCCAAATTGACTGCAGACAATAATGTCTCAGTCTCCTTTAATGCTAATGAGTTTGCTGTTAAGGATCTACAGGACAATCGTCTTCTCCTTCGCGGTCTCAAACGCAATGGACTGTATCGTCTCACGGCTCCTATCCCACCTAAGCACACAGCTCTAGCGGCGGACAGCCCATCCAGCTTCTCGTGGCATGCCCGGCTCGGTCACGATCGCATAATACAGAAATTAGCTCGCTTAGACTCTGCTATTAAAACTAGTTCTAATTCCTCTTTTCTGCATTTCGTGTAATCTTTCCAAAAGCCATAAACAGTCTTTCTTCTCTAGCACGTCTGTTTGCACCAAGCCATTTGAGCTGGTACACTCGGACGTCTGGGGTCCTACTCCGGTACCTTCAATGAATGGGTATCGCTATTATGTTGTTTTCATAGATGACTTTACGCATTTTTCTTGGATTTATATATTACATTCTAAAGCTGAAGTTCTTTCTAAATACTAACAATTATGCAATATGATTAAAAATAATTTCAAACACAAATTCAACACTTCCGGTCGGACGACAGTGGAGAGTATACGAGCAATGATTTTTGACATTACCTCATTCAGCAGGGCACCACTCATCAAATGTGTTGCCCACATACGCCAGAACAAAAGGGCACGACCGAACGAAAGCATCGGCACCTCATTGAGCTCACACGCACTTTACTTCACGCCGCCCATCTCCCATCAAAACTCTGGGCGGAGGCTGTATCTACCGCAAACTATCTCACAAATCGTCTACCATCCTCAGCACTTTCAAATTAAACCCCGTACCTCCGTCTCCACGGGCAGCACGCGTCATACAAGCATCTTCGTACCTTCGGGTGCTTATGTTTCCTGTGGACTTGCCTATATGCCGATCACAAGCTCTCCCCTCGCTCACAACTGTGCATTTTTCTGGGTTACTCCACACAGCACAAGGGATATCGGTGCCTCGATGAGTCTCAAAAACGTATCTACATATCCCGCCATGTTGTGTTTTATGAGACAGTTTTTCCTTACCAACGCACGGTACGAACCTTAACGTCGGATGCATCACAAAGCACATGTTCTCCTCTGCTGCTCATTCCCAGCTCAATGGTCTCTCCAGCTCCGCTCAAATCTGCCCTCACACCGGCTTCGGCAGACTCGGACCCTACCCAGCTCCACTCATCATCTATAGATGATCAGTCTCCATCCGAATTTCCTCAGCACTCCTCAGCAGTGTCGCCGCCTCCATCTATCAGCAACAGGCCGTCTAATTCTGCTCCTCGACACCCAATGCAAACATGGCTTCGGTCAGGCATTTTGAAACCCAAGCATATATTTGATCTATCGGTTGTGCAGAACTCCTCGCCCACGCCTACCTCTTACACCGAAGCAGCCAAGCACGCCCACTGGCGTTCGGCCATGTCCACCGAATACTCTGCGTTACAAAAACTTGGTACATGGTCATTGGTGCCATCCCCTCTCCATAAACCCGTTATAGGTAGCAAATGGACGTTCAAAACAAAGTATCTCCCTAACGGGAAAATTGCAAGTTATAAGGCACGTCTCGTAGTCTTGGGTTGCTCACAAGAAATTGGAATAAATTTCACCGACACATTCAGTCCGGTGGCCAAGATGGTCACTATCCGGATGCTTCTCACTATCGCTTTACATCACAATTGGGCGGTCACTCGGTGTGACATCTCAAATGCTTTTCTCCACGGAGATCTGTAAGATGAAGTATACATGAAACAACATCGTGGTTTTGAGGACGCTCAACATCGGCAATACGTTTGCAAGTTGTATAAATCAATTTATGGGTTAAAACAATCTCCTCGTCTCTGGTTTCAAAAACTATCTCAGTCGCTGCAACAAATTGGATTTACTTTCAGCACAGCGGATCCGTCTCTCTTAATCTACGCTAAAGTAGATGTTAGGGTCTTTGTCCTCATATACGTCGATGACATGCTTATAACCGGCAATAACAACGCTCAAATACTACTCACATTACAACATCTCCAGTCTGCCTTTCACCTCAAACAGCTCGGCGACGTCTCCCTATTCCTAGGAATTCAGGTGATTCAAACTACTAATTGTTACTTTCTTAGTCAAACATGTTTCAGATCTATGATTTTGATGATAGCAAACATTCCTTATTTCTCTACGATTGCCTTATGTGCTAATGTTTCAGGTCCACACGATCATACTGCAATCTGGAACCAGCTCAAGTTTAGATAGACTAGGTCTGAGTTAGTTTGTAATCTTTTTTCCTTTCTTGAGTCTGTTGTATTTGATATGGGACCAGTTGGTTTATAACTTGGAAGATCTCCTGTTGTTCCCTAAAAGATTTCTGTTTTTGGTAATATCGGCCGGGATGATATATATATCGTCCTGGACGATATGTCCAAAACCAAAAACCCTAATTAGGGCATCCTCATTAAGGCAGCCATCAACAGATCGGCCTAGACGATACCTGTATCGGCCAGGACGATCTACTCAATTCAGAAAGAATCAACCGCCATAATCAGTTTTGGAATTCTTTGTTTTAGGAAATCGGCCAGGATGATATTTATATAGTCCAGGATGATCTAACTCAATTATGCCTAAATTGATCTGAGGGCACTGATATTTTTCATTATGGGCGCAGGCTTCCTAAATCGAAAGAAAATAACGTCAGAGAAAATATGGACATCCCTTACCACTTTTACCTTTTTTCTACTTTTTTCTTATGCTTAGGTGAGCTTTGTGATTTGCTTGACAACATCATTGCCTTCGTCACCGAACTAGACTATCTTTTTGTATCTCAGCTTTTAGAACAATAGTTTCAACTGATCCAAAAGTCTTTGACCCAAACTTTGCTCGTAAGGCAAATGAGTGAGCAATCAAATTATCAATAGAATAATCATTCAATCTTTTGATTCACAAATAGCAACAACTTTTGGCATCAATTTTTCAAGTAAACAACGAAGAATTTTACTGACTTTTTTCAAAATTTGAAAAATTTTCTAAATCATGTAATGAGTTTACAATATGAATGAATCTGGTATACATGTCTATGATCGTTTCAAAAGGTTTCATGAAAAATAATTCAAAATCATGCATTAACAAATTCAACTTGGATTGTTTGATTTCACTAGTGCGTTCGTATATGGTGTGCAATTTAATCCCAAACTTCCTTACCGGTAAGTGCACGTGGATACTAACATAAAATCATCAGAATTTAAAGCACAGAAAAAGCAATTTAAAGACTTTGCATTCAATTGAGCATTAAGTGTTTCCTTCCCTGTTCCATTGACTAAAAGGAATATCAATTTTAATCCATTAATAATTCGTGACGGTGATGAATACCAGTTAAATTCATATGTCACATGCGAAAATCAATCGATTGCAAGAAAATAGACATGCGAGTTTTCCAAAAAATCAAAATGACATATTTTCAAAATAAAGAGGTCTGGTGATTGAAAAATCTTCAGCAATTGTACGATTAGCCATGGATCAAAATTCAAAAGCTTTTAAAAGCTTATTTTTTGAAAACTGCTCTGATACCAACTTGAGTTCGTTAGGGATGTTAGGCCCTATATGAACTGGCCCAAGGCTAATAAAGAGAGAGGTGATAATTGGAAAAGAAGAATAAATTTTAAACAAAGACAAAAACCCAAACCAAATTCACCACAAAAAAGGTGGCGGAAAAATAAATAAAATGCGGAAGCGATAATAAGAAGAACACACCTGATTTATAGTGGTTCGATCAAAACCTTGACCTACGTCCACTTCCCTTGGAGGCACCCTCCAAGTATTGCATGAAAACAAGTGTCTCTTCTTTACCCCCACAGCTAGGCGGAGAGCCCTTAACAACA